GCCTGCTTACAGGCGTTCAGAGGGTAGAATGATGACAAAGTACAAAGGATAAGTGCAAGTCAGCTATACAACACTCATCTATAAGCAAGAAGCTCAAAAGTGTCTGGATGACAGTTATCAGAGACCACTGCATTATACAAATAAGTATCATAATATACATATATTATAAAAAGCTATTAATAATGCTCAATCTAATTGAGGAGTTCATAAAGTTCCAAAATGATAAATTATAGCTCTCTGAAGAACAGATGGGATCGAATGGAATGCAGGAAAGCAAAATGGCAGAACTGCAAAATAGTTTGAAGAACTCTGGGTATGCAAGAGTAATAATACATGCCAAGCCTCAGGACATTTTACCCAATGATGCCTAAAGCATGAACATGACATGTTACTTTAAAACAATCAGCAATATTCCAGATTTTGTTGAAGAAACATACCAGATTTGAGTTTATACACTAGTTGAATTAAATACCAGTTTGCTAAGTGCTGGAACAATACCAGGAGTGAATAAAATGAATAAGTTAACTAAAATCTAAAATAACTAAAATAAGTTATCTCAAATCTAGGAGATATTACCAATACAACATACAGCTTATTACCAAAGTTTACTGCAACGATAAGGGAAAGATAGTTTGAATTCTACTATTTTCTTCACCGTTCTTCCTCTGTCCCTGGGAAAACTGGTGTCATTGGGAAAGATCTATTTACGTTAGTCTGTTATGCTACTGGTGTGTTCTATAGCACTGCCCCTTATGTACATTCTTCCTGTGTGTAGTTTTTGGGGTTTAAATATCTCTACTCATGCTGATGTGTTATGTTTGCAGCATTCCACCAGAACAAGGAAGGATCCTGGTCCTGTCCACAGAGATATAACTTCACTTGGTGCCATTAACTTCAATGTTTCATTTGTACCATCTTATCTTCTCCATCCGTATCATAGTTATGCACTGCCTAGCAATGCTCAAAAGGAAAATATTGCACTAGTATACATACATGGCTTCACCAGTGGAACACGTTTTTTATATAGTACTGTGCTGGTATAAAGGCCCCTGCAATCTCCCTATCCACTTTCAGTCTTGCAGAACAGGCTGCCTTTTAAATATGTGAAGCAGCTGGAAAACAGTAAGGTTATTGCTCTCCTCTGTCCATATCCAGTAAAACAAAAAACTATACGTTATTTTTCCACCGATTCCATTTATTCCATTGACTGCCTGTGATCCCTGCAGCTCTTTCATATGCACAACAGACATAGGATTATTATCAGATTTAGGAGTTTAGAGGCAAAGCAAGCTCTGCACGGGCCAGTGAGAACACAAAGCAACAGGCTCCTGGGCTCAGTATGAGAGAAGAGTGGTGTTGACTCAAGCAACAAGTTGCTCAGAATAAAGAGCGAGAGTCTGAGATGTAACTCCATTGGACTCTTGTGTTGCCCAAAGGCTGCTTCAGCTTCTTCTGGCCTACAAGCACTAGTGGTACCAAAGCACAAGCTAGCAGACCCCTCCTCTGACCAGCTGCCATAGTAGTAGCATATAGAGTCCCGGGTTTGAATTCCTGGCACTTCTCATAACAAATGCGTATTTGCCAAAATGCTGGCCCACAAGAGGACAAGGAAAGCCCAATCTTCTTTTTAAAAGTATAAACTTCACAAACTGTTTTGACATTATCTTATGTTTGACTCCTTGTTTATGATTTGTTGAAATGAACTCATTAACCTGCTAGTTTATCCAGTTTCGTTAAGTCTGACTACTGAGTGTAACCCTGACTCTTAAGAGGTGTGAAAGAGCTCTCCTGTTAAGACTGTCAAAGGAATTCATTACTGAGGGGGCAGAATGGCTTTGTGTACAAAGCCCAATCTTTTAAAGATTTTTAGCAGATATGCTAATAGACTTGAACCGTAATGGATTTTAATACTTGAGTGACATGTATTCCACCACCCTGATATCCGATGGGCACAAGATCAGGGACACTTTCCCCAATGAAATTAATAATGCAGTCTACGCTTTATAGCGGGAAGGTAAACGTCATTTCCGTGTGCTGCGCTGGTGCTGGCTCGCCAGAGCAGCTTTGTCCCGCTGGCCACGTGACCCGGAAGTGTCTGCGGGCAGCGCTGGCTCCCGGCCTCTTAAGTGAGATGAGCACACAACCCTAGAGTCGGACACGACTGGCCCGTACGGGCAGGGGTACCTTTACCTTTTTATGCATACTTAACTGGTAAAATCAACCAAATAAACATATATAAAATCAACCTGCACATTTCTTAACTATGTTCTCATGTCCCTTTGATTTCAGTGGAGCTTAAGCATGCCTAACGCTCTTTGGATTGAACCCAGTGGCTTCAAGCCTACACAGATTCATGTCCATTTATCCAACTGGAACAGCATGTAAAAGTTGTCAGGATCAGAGCCAACACTTGGGATTTATCTGTAGATTTTGCTATTAAAGTGTACTTAAAACCAAATGTATTAGACCAATATATTTAGAAAGAAACTATATTCAAACACAAAAAAGCTCAACAGAGTATATACAAAGTTGAAGAAAATTCAGTTTTTAGACACTTCTATTACATTTCCAAGTAAATTACTTCAGTGCTTTCTTTCAAGGATATTCAATTATTCTTTTCTTTTTATATGGACTTTTTAACATGTTGTTAGCTTTAATCATCATTTTTAGGTTCCGGTGACACTTTTAACATTACTCAGAGCTGCTCTCCAACAACAGAAAGAAACTTTAAACTGTCTCTTTATAAAGTTTTATGACAGCCACACATAATTTAGGATACATAATAATCAGAAGTATACGTATCCCTTTAGCATGGCAATCAAGAGTTAGACAGTACACATATAATCATTTTCAGTGCTAAGCCAGTCCTCTTTGAAAACTTCACTAACATAACAGTGAGGAAAAGAGGGAAAACGCAGAACACACACACAAAAAAACAGCCTTCCCCATTATAAAACCCCACAAACTTCAAGCAAAGAATCTAATTATATACTGCAGGATTATTTAAACATCCAGTTTGAGTTTTATATATTGATTAAATCTAATCTACTGTTGGTAATAACAACAGTTAGCATGTACATAGCACTTTGTGTTCAAAGTATTTCATATACATTATCTTGCTGCAACCCTTACAACCAACCCTGTGAGGCAGGTCATCTCCCTATTTCCAAAGGAAGACAATAGCTACCCTAGGAGTAGTGAGAGGAAAGATCCCTGATGCGTAACTTAGTCCCTTTGCCACTAAGCTACACCAGAGTACAGTCATACATTGGTTTTCGAACAGCTTAGTTCTCGAACATTTTGGCTCCCGAACGTCGCAAACCCGGAAGTGACTGTTCCAGTTTGCGAACTATTTTTGGAAGTCGAACGTCCAACGGGGCTCCTGCAGCTTCCGATTGACTTCCAAGGTATGACTGTATATGGTATTATTACCATTAGTGGTGAGGTGTACAGATTAAACCCTTGCTCCTTCACATAAACACTTCAGTCCCCATAGGTTTTAATAAACAAGGGTAGTAGTCAACGATAGTCCTACTCAGAGTAAATCTACTGCAGTAAATGGACGTGCCTAACCTAACTTTAGATGGGTTTACTCTGAGTAGGACTACCCCAAGTTTCTATGAACTTTTCCTACTTTTGACCCAACTGAACTATAACATACGAAGTAGTTTTCCAAGAAGAGTAACGTGTTTTTTTAAGTCAGCATTTTAGGACGCAAGATACAACTTACATTCCTGTGAATTCAGTGAGTTAATAACTGAGGTTTGAAGAAAACTATCTTTGCTAGGAAATGTGAAGCCTTGGGCAATGGAAGTGGGAGTACAGCTTTCCTTTCTCCTAACTTCTAACAAGGCATGCAATCTCGTACTCTATGATTGGAATGTCAACACAGAGAGGCTGCAGTAGTTCCAGTGTGAGGCGGTCACCCATTCCATGCTCTCGTTAGGGATTCTCAATGATCAAGGTTATCTGGAGTAATTCTTGAGCCTGTAAACTTGAAATAGACCCCACTGTTTCTACCTCTGAATACCTATTTCTGGAATACAGCTACTAATCACCAATTCTTATGAACACTGAATATAAAACATAAACCACTACACTCCCCACCACCACCATTAATTACATGTTTCTGTTGTAAGTCATAGGATAGTTCTGCTTTGTTTTGCACTATTAGTGCATAAATACAGCATAGTATAATCATTAGGTTCAAACAGAATAGCCTTTGGACAGTCACTCATTATTCTAAAGTTATATTTTGCTGGCTATAATCTTCTTTTGAACACAATAGATCTACATAGTTCAAAATTCTCCTAAAACATCTACAGCTGTAAAAAATTATTGTGCAAATAGTGACAATTTAATAGCTATTTAATTGACCTAAATTAATGACTGCAGAAAAATAAATAGAAGGAAAGAGGAATTTCCAAAGAAAAGTGATACAACACTGAGGCTGCTATCCTATACCTGGGATTAATACTTTCCTAGGATTAATCCTACGTAAATTTTAATGGAGTAGACAGGTATAAATTTGTGCTGAGAATGTCTTAAATGTTAAAGTCATATGGATGTCGTTCCCAACTCCTTGAAGATGCTTCCAGAATATTGAGTTTAGATTTAACTCTTAGGTTTGGACAGTGTTTATAAACCCTGTTGCATCTCTCAAAAAAACTACATCTTCTGCTATATAATATTACTTGCAATTTTTTTTAGGTTCCCCTCCCCATTAAAACTATTCAGCTTAGTGAAACGAATAGTGGGAGCCCAACGTGGGCATTTTTACATGCTAAATTCCTGATTAACAAACCCCACATACCAACACAGCCCCCCTATTCCCCACAAACACTGCATGCTGTCACATTTCCTGATTGTGTCTAAAGAAAACATGTTCTCTAAGAAATCTAAAAACTGAACAAGCATCTTACATCTGAATGTAAGAGACAGGTAGCCAGTATCTCACCAACATCAATCTTTTTCTGTGTGTGTACAGTTTACATACTTACCGAGGAAGGCCAATGGAAATTACAGGCAGAGGAAAATGAAGCTGTCTCCAAGCCTTTGTCATGTGATAGTGACCTATAAAGTATCAAATAGCGGCATATCATCAGCACATCATGATTTTCCAATATTGCAGCTGGCCCAAAACTGCAGTAAGGCTAGAGGGATCCCAAAATTGCAACTTACTTTTGTCCCCCTTTGTACCCACCCAACAGTAAGTTCTTATTAACATATGAAGCAATTTTGTGTCTCTAGAAGGAAAACACACAAACACACAAAAGTGTCAAGTTTAAACTGCAAACAAAACCAGCAGAGTGTTTATAAAGTGCATTGGGAGTGAACAAGTGAAAGAAATTGTATGGGGGATTCATCACTAGGGTAGGTTTCTCCCACCCCCCATTAAACAGCACACCCAAGATGGCAAATACAGATAAAGTTGAACTCAAATTGCAAATGGGAATCAAACAGGAAGGAAGCCCCTCGATGTGCACATGTAATCGGTTAGTCAGTTTCGTGGATGAATTTAAGCAACATCATCATCGTTCTCCAAAACAAAATCTGAGACCCAGACTGCAGGTCTACACGAGACGTTGCAACATAGTTTCAGGTAGTCCCTATTTCCCGATCCCTCTTGATAAGATCCCCCTCCCACCTCCTTTCGCCATCGCAATCCAAAGAGAGAGAGAGAGAAATATTATATAGACCTGACTTCCTCCAGCACACGGGGAAAGAGAGCATTCGCCTGCAAGCCACCCACCCCACCATGCAAAGTGTAGGCAGGGCCAATGGGGTCTGGGGGTGAAAGCGAAGGTTGTTAAACATGGAGTGTCGCGAGGAAGATAAAGCAAGCCCAGAGCTTTCCCTTCTTCTTTCTGGTCAGCATCAAGTTTGCATCTTAGTTACAAAATGTCGATCTTAAAGGCTGACAAGACACAGGGAGGGAGAAAGAGAGAGAGTCCATCTTGCGGGGTGGGGGGGGGAGAGTGTTGCTGGAAGGAGCGAGGAGCAATAATATAACGTAAGAAAGAAAGAAAGAAAATCTCAAACCTCCCCGAGGGGAAAAGTCTGCACAACACCTTGTAGGAGAGCCTGGAGCAGAAGAAAGCAGCCGGAGAAGCGGGCGCCGGGGGAAGTGGGGGGCTGCTGCCGGATCTCCCCCCACTCCTCCTCCTCCACACCCTTTGCCTCCCCAGCGAGATTCGGTGAATCAGACTGGCAGCAAACACCTCCCTGCTGCTGCTGCCGCCGCCGCCACTGCTCCCCTCCTCCTCCCCGCGGGCCCGAGCTATGATCCCGCGGCTGCTGCCACCGGGAAAGAGGAGGAGGTGCTGCTGCTGCTGCTGGAGCCACATGGAAGCCCAGAATCCTTGTGGTTGCTCCATCTCCAGCGTGTTAGGGGCAAAGAAGAAGGGGGGGACCAGCACCAAGAGAGTGGGTGTCTGGGTGGGTGGCAAGCTGCCCCCCTCGGCCTCACCCGTGCACGGAGCCGGGGATCTGAACGTGTCATGAGCAGGACAGGCAATGGTTTCAGAGCCCCAGGCCAAGTGACCATCCTCCGCGGCAGCCTGCTCCCCCACCACCACGCTCGCCTCTCTCTCTTGACAAACTTTCCGACAAGATCCACCCGCGAGAAGTCGCTAATTTCCCTCCCTCGCACTTTTCGGGGTGCCGGGGACGGCGGCGGCGGGAAGGGGGGGGGAGGAGAAACGGAAATAACCCCAGAAGACCAAACACAGCTCGCAACAAGAGTGGCCGCGCACCGGGTATTTGCTTTAACTCTCTCCCAGATCCCCCCACAACCCGCCAGGGTGCTTTCTTTCCGCCCCCCTCCCCACCACCACGACAGAAAAGGAAAGCGCTGGTTTGGGGGGGGGGGGTTGAAGAGAGAGAATAGCTTGCCTATGGCTCTCCGCTCGCTCTCCTCCCCCCCCCCCCGCTCTCTGTCGTACATGTTGTCTCAGCTTCTTTTTGCATCGTTTCATTTTACCTTCCTCATTCAGCGGCAGCGGATTGTTCACAGAGATATTCCGAACGCAAACCTCCTCCTGCTTTCCAGATCCCAGGATTAACGAGACGTTTCTGTTTTGCTCACCCCACCTCCCTGGCAAAAAAAAAAAAAAATGCGCGTTGGTTTTGGTTTGGTTTTTTCCCCCCTTTCTCAAAAACCTCCTATGCCGGATCCAGCCATGCAAGTTTTCATACATTCGCAAATAAAACACCAGAGAGGAAGGAGAGCGAGCGAGGGGAGGGCTGGTGAAGGAAGAAGGAGCGTCTGATTTCTGTAATTTACCAGCGACCCGATCTCGCAGCACAGCAAATAACAGTTCGACACCCATCTGCCGGCTGGTGGCTCCGTAACCCCCCCGGAAGACACGCGTCCCCCTCCCTGTGCAAACGACCTGCAAGTTTTCTGTCATCGCGACCACCCGGTGTCACAACTTACCTTCAGAAACAGGACTTTAAACTGCCAAGGCCTTCCTCTCCCCCCGCTTCCCCTCGCAGCCTCGCTCTCTCTCCACCTTAAACTTATTGACACAACATAATCCCACATTCATGCAAAATCCTGACACAGCCTCTCTCCTCCTCCGTCCGTCCCTCCCCCCATCTCTTTTATTCTTCCTTGCTCCCGGCTTGCACTATCACTTTTTATTTTTTATATATTTATATATTTATATATTTATATCCACCCCCCCTTTAAAAAAAACCACACTAACAAAACTCCCCTCTAATAATTGCACATTTTGATGTTGTTGTTTGTGTGGAAGGAAGCAGGAGGAGGGAAGGAGGGAGGGAAAGTGCCTTGCAAGACATGATCCTCTCTCTCTCTCTCTCGCTACCGGAAAACGAACGATTCCCAACTCTCGAAGCCCGAGCAACTGAGCCCCGTTTGTCGGAGGGGCTGCGGGGGGTGGGCGTGCTTCCCACCGCACCCCCCCCCTTACCCTGCCCTCGCCCACAGTGACACAAAACACGAGCCGCCGCCGCGCAACACAAATAAATCAACGCACCGACGACATCGTCGCCCCCTCCCCCTCTTACAATGAACTTTCGTTTCTCGCTGCCCCTGTCAAAGAGACACAAACACGCGGGGGAAGGGATGCGTGGGGGTGGGGGGGTGGGTTGTTTCGAATCCCTCCTGTGGGAGTCCCGGTTATTATATTTCCCGGCCCACCGTTGCTGCTGCTGCTGCTCTTGCCTCCGTGCGGTGGTGAGGTTTCCAACGCAGCCTGGCACTGGCTGGCCTACCCTTGGGTTGGTGCTGCTCTTTTCCCTCGCTCGCTCTCCCTTTCCTGCTAAATGCATTGCATAGCATTGCAACTCACCTCTTTCCTCCGCCTCTCTTCATATCCTCTCTCTCTCTCCCCCCCCCTTCTCCCAGCGCCCCACAACCACCCCTCCTGCCCTATATAATCTAGAGAGCTCTAGAGCTGCGGCTTCCCCTCGCGCAAGGGCTGCGAAGAAGCCCACCCCTGACCTTCTCTCTCTCGCCTCGACCCTCCCCATCCAAAGTTTGAGGCAGGAAAAGTGAATGGGGATGGTGGGCAGCGGGGACGCCGAGAGGTCTGCGCCTGCCTTCTCAGGGAGTCCACCCTGCTGCCGGCTGAGGAGGAGTCTCGGGGGCTGCTGCCCCCATGCTTTTAAGTGAGTAATAATAGAAAGGGAAGTGTTGGGAAAGGGGAGCCCTTTCCTCCTGGCTCGGGGTGGAGAGAGGGAGGGGAGGCTGCTGGCTGCACTTACCTCCGACTGTGTGCCCGTGTGTGTGTGAATGAGTGTCTGTTGAGTGTTGGCGGCCGTGGCCAGTCAGTGTTTCTTTATGTGAAAGTGAGGGAGAGAGAGCGAGAGGAGCAGCTCTCAAGCAGAGCCCACACTGTACACTGTTTCCCCCACATATACAGTACATTGCAAAGCCGGGGAGAAGACCGAAAACATTCGTTTTTTATATAAGGCAGCCTGCCATTGGCTCGCGGGGCTGAGGGGCAGGTTGGCCAGCCATACAGCTCGCCTGTTACACCCGAAGAGAAACGCACGCAGCCACACACACACTCCCCCTCTCTCTCCCTCACATGCACACACTGGCGAGCGCGTGCACAAACTCACACGCCCGCAGAAAAAATATTATCGCGTATTTGTTAAAAACAAAAACAAAAAAGCCGGCGTTTCGGGACCTGTAGGCAGCTTTTTCCTTTCTTGGTCAGGTGGAGGGAGGGCAGGTAGAAGGGAAGAGCAAAGTAGCGAGGGGAGGGGGAAGCAGCCGCGCCGGTGCGTAGAAAAGAAGAAAAAACATGCCCGAAACTGGTGTCCATTAACTGACATGGGAGGTTTCCTGTGGTCATAAACTCCCAACTCCGCTGGGCGCCGAAGTGGGGCGCTTGCTCGCCCGGTGTGTAGAGCCCCGCGGAAAAGCAGGGCTTTGTGTGACGATTTGCCAAGGGGAGCTGGCAGACAGTTGCCACGGGGCAGGATTTCAGTGGCTGGTGGTGATCTGGCTGTTTAGCTGGGCTGATCCCACGGAGAGGCCAAGAATACCCCACAGAGAAGAAGTTCGCAGCGCCCGGGAAAAAAATGCCTTTCAGGGGCGCTGCCCAACTGAGAGATCAATACTTATAGCTACACAAAAGTCTGCCCAGTGACGAGGTGGGGGGGGGGGAATACTGATTTCACTGGCTGATCATCTCCCAAAATCTCTCTTAGTCAACAACAACAACAGTGCAGCAGCACGATTCTAGGGAGGGCTGGTGATCCACAACAGGGACCTAAAACAGTATTGACTTCATATTGAGATGCTCTCTTTAAATTATTACTTGAGCGGATGGATGGCTTTAATAAAACAGCAAAAGGGTCTTGTGGCACCTTAAAGACTCAACCTCCTTATGGCTTAAGCTTTTGTGGACTAGAGCATAGCTCATCTTGCGGTAGCTGCTTCCATGTATCATGCTGAATACCTATGTCACAAAAACTTATACCATAGTCAATCTTTAAAGTGCTACAAGACTATTATTTTTTGCTGCAACAGACTAACGAGGCTACCCCTCTGGAAATTTTAAGAAAACATTACAGCCGCTCAATGGTGACAGTATGGCCTGTGGCTACATGTCTGTTCCCTGACAAGTTTTAAAGTTCTGTTAAACTGTCTTGTCTGCAGGATGGCATGGATGTATGCTTGAACAACATGTTTGTTTTATGCATTACATGTGTATACTTTGGCATCGCAAGTGCAGTTAACATTATGGATGCACTTATGTATGCCTCAAACAAGGATTAATCTATCACTTCTTCTTTAAAATAAAATTAGTGCCAATATCATATGGTGTGGTTCACTCGTTTGATGGAGAAAGCCCTATGGCATCCATTTTTCTGCATTTTATGCTTAAGTGTTCAGTATGATATGTAGAAACAACTACTGGTCAGGTTTCTGTAAAGCTTTCACAGTCTTGTACATTACATGGTAACATAATAAATAAATAAATAAACAAACAACAATTTATAACTGAAGCAGCTTCTCAATCAGTTTTCTAAATCATATTTTCAGGCCTATCCAATGACTACTCTTACGTTTTAAAGATTGTATGACCTCTGCATAATCATATCCCCTTATCTGATGCTATTCACACATAGAAAAGTAGATACCAACAGAAGTCCTAGGAACAGAAAGACTCCAGATCAGCTCCAAAGTTCACAGGTTTTCTTTGCAAATACATGCCTGTTTATTGGTTCTTCCATTTTAGTTTCCCATATGTACAAAAGTACATATTAATCCAAAGAGAGAGAGAGGTGAGATGTAGTCTCTTTTCCTATTAAAAGTTCTTGTTTCTGTAATCAAAAGATATTAGAAGTCACAGAAAGCACGAAAGACCCCACAATCCTCTTTTCTAACTGTAAATCTGTGATGGGAGTATATATTTCTGTGCTTCTGAGAGCACAGAAGCTGTTTCCATTTAAGAATATGAAGAACTTAGTTCTGTCCTCCTAGACAGTGAAAATGCAATATGACTTTTCACTTTAAAACTGTTAGATTTCCCCACCACCACCTTTTTATATCTATAGAACAATGAGGACCAGAGAGAGGTAGAGGAAAAAATAGATTATAAGTAAGACTAGGTCACATTACAGCTGATAAGCAACCATTTTGACAAAGATATATAACACAACTGTTTTGATTTAAAAGCACTTTGGGAGCAAGGAGCGCTTTTTGGCTAGTTAGGTAGCGATGGGGTGGTCGTATGCTTATTAGTGGCAATTAACAAATAATAAATAACTGAAAACTGATACACATGTAGCAAGTAAAGTTCTCCAGGACATAGAGTGATGAAAAGTTTACAGTGCAATCCTATACATGTCTACTCAGAAGTAAGCCCTATTTAGTTCAATGAGGCTTTCAGGTAACTGGGTATAGGCTAGAGCCGAGAATGTCCAATATCACTTATCTGAGAGTAAGCCTCACTGGAACACAGTGAAATTTACTTAAGTAAACAGGCATAAAATTGTTTGCATGTTAAATTTATTTGTGTTAGGAGCAGGCCAGAAAGAAAATGGCCAGCCTAGATCCACATATTTGACTCCCGCTTATGCAGAACCTTGATCATGGTAAACTCATGTGTGTAGGCAGCTTCCAAGAAGTGCACACCTTTGCTTCTCTAGACCAGTGGCGTAGCGTGTGTTGTCAGCACCCGGGGCAAGGCAAGTAATTTGCGCCCCCTAACCCGTGGATTTTAGCACTGATTTTAGCACTGCTAGTGAGAGCGCGCCCCCCCCAGATGTTGCGCCCGGTGCGGCCGGCCCCCCCTGCACCCCCTACGCTACGCCACTGCTCTAGACAAAATCCAAAGAGCCCTGAGGTGCCTTAAAATCTCACAAGTGCATTCCAGTCTGCAGAAGCTTATGCTGCATACAAACTGACTGCCTTATGGGTCTTGATCAAGGGCTTAAGGCTGTAGTGTAAGTTTGATATGTTGGAAAGTAAACTATTTTTTAACTCAGTGGTTTGTCCGCAGTGTTCTAACAGTTTAAATGAATTTGTTGTAACATATTTGCTCTGCAACTTGCAAAAGTGTTTGTGTTTTGTATGTGCACACATAAATAATGTGGCACTAGTATTCTGCTTCCCTCCCTCCTTCATCCTCCCCTCTCCAAGTTGTTTAGTTATATCATCCTATGAACTGCATCATTGTTTTTAAGATCCTTATATTTTACCAAAATATCAAACATCAAGAACCAAGTATTACAGTTATCTCATCAGTGCCTTTTAGAACATTGTTGGATAACTGTAATACTTGGTTCTTGACATTCAGAAAAATTAAATTAAATCAAAATATGTGAGCACCTGCATTTTGAAGATCAAGCTTTGTCATGTTGAATACATTGATTTAGTTCTAGTTACAGGTAGGTAGCCGTGTTGGTCTGCCGTAGTTGAAACAAAACAAAATAAATAAAATAAATAAAATAATTCCTTCCAGTAGCACCTTAGAGACCAACTAAGTTAGTTATTGGTATGACCTTTCGTGTGCAAGAAGTGTGCATGCACACGAAAGCTCATACCAATAACTACCTTAGTTGGTCTCTAAGGTGCTACTGGAAGGAATTTGTTTGTTTGTTTTGTTTTGTTTTGTTTCGACATGGATTTAGTGACATCCCAAAATTGCTGATCACCTGTGAAAAATCTTAGTGATAGTTCTTAGCATTTAAGACATCCATATTTAATAAATTATCTTATTTACATCTTTTAAAATTGCTTTTATTCTTTATTAAAACATGTTTTATAACAAGTCTATGGAACAAGTTGAAAGCAGTATTTGGGATTCTGACATCTATTGGATTGCTTCAGGAACAGTATGATATGGTTTGAATGAGGGTGAGGGAGTAGGAATCTAATTCCCCCCCCTTGGGGGGGGGTTATTCAATCAGATGCATATGCAGCAAAGCAAACTGTAGATGTATTTCAGCATTTTGGTAAGTTCAAGTAAAACTGATTTTCCATTAATTATCTTCATGGATGTTAAAAATAGGTGAACTTTGACTCATTAGAGGCACCTGTCTTTGAACAGACTCAGGGCCTCAAATTTGACTCAAACTCTTGTACTATATGAGGAATGGTGAGGCATAAATGCAAGTTAGTTTTTGTAATGCTAAACAATAGACATATCTGAAACAAGACACTGTTTCACATGCTCTCTGACATTTCTCGGAGAAAAACAGTGCATTTGTCAAGCATTGTAGAAACAAGTTCATATTATGATAGTGAGCAAGCCAAATAAATGAGCCATCTTTATGCCCTGCCAAATAATTTCTGAAACATTAACTTCAGACATTTCTCTAGAATTCAGAAAGCACATTTGTACCTCTTGATGTCATAATTTTAGAATATACAGAGCTGCCTTATTCTGAACAGACCAATGATCCATCTAGCCCAGTTATATCAACTTTGGCTAGCCATTGATCCTCTAGGCTTCAGGCAAAAGTCTTTGCCAGACCTGTTGTATAGGATCCTTTAATCACAGATACTAGAGACTGAAAATAGAATTTTCATTTGAAAACTGTTAACATAGTGAGATACATTGCATATCAGTCACACAATATTATAATTTTGATAATTAGGAAGATTCTGTAAACATTAGAAATATTGTTAAGTTCAAATTCAGTTTCTTTAGACATTGAATTATGATAGCCGAATTAGTACAGTTGGAATGGTAAAATTGTTATTTTTAAAAAGCAAGTACTTTGCTGTTAAGAACACCCTCACATCAGGGTCACCTGATCAGATAAGAAAAGATGCAAATGATCTCACTCAGCAGTTTCAAATATGTTGAACAGAACTGGATACAAGTTGCAATCATGTGGGACCTCACAGCATAAAAGCCATGGGACTCTAGGTCTCTGAGCAATATCATGTGAAAACAGCC